AAAAAATCTGGAAAAAATCTGGGGAAAATCTGGGAAAAATCTGGGGAAAATGGGAAAAATGGGAAAAATGGGGAAAAATGGGAATGGGGAAAAAGTGGGAAAAAATCTGGGAAAAATGGGGAAGAAATCTGGGAAAAATATGGGAGAAATCTGGGGAAAATGGGAAAAATGGGAATGGGGAACAATGGGGAAAATCTGGGGAAAATTGGAAAAATGGGGAAAAATCAGAAAAATCTGGGAATGGGAAAAATCTGGGGAAAATCTGGGAAAAATGGGGAAAAAATCTGGGAAAAATCTGGGAAAAAATCTGGGAAAAATCTGGGGAAAATGGGAAAAATGGGAATGGGGAACAATGGGAAAAATGGGGAAAATCTGGGAAAAATGGGAAAATGGGAATGGGGAAAATTTGGGAAAAATCTGGGGGAAAATGGGAAAAGTGTGGGAATGGGGAAAAAGTGGGGAAAATGGGAATGGGAAAAATGGATAAATGGGGATGGGGAAAAATGGGGAAAATATGGGAAAAATGGGAATGGGGAACAATGGGGAAAATGGGAAATATCTGGGGAAAATCTGGGGAAAATCTGGGAAAAATCTGGGGAAAATCTGGGGAAAATGGGAAAAATGGGAATGGGGAAAAAGTGGGAAAAATCTGGGAAAAATGGGGAAAAATCTGGAAAAGGGGAATGGGGAACAATGGGAGCAATGGGGAAAATGGGAAAAAATCTGGAAAAAATCTGGGAAAATTCTGGGGAAAATGGGAAAAATGGGAATGGGGAAAATGGGAAAAATGGGAATGGGGAAAATGGGGAAAATCTGGGGAAAATGGGAAAAATGGGAATGGGGAAAAAGTGGGAAAAATCTGGGAAAAATTGGAAAAATGGGGAAAATCTGGTAATGGGAAAAATTCTGGGGAAAATGGGAAAAATGGGAATGCGGAAAATGAGGAAAATCTGGGAAAAATCTGGAAAAAATCTGGAAAAAATCTGGAAAAAATCTGGGAAACATCTGGGGAAAATGGGAAAAACGGGAATGGGGAACAATGGGAAAAATGGGGAAAATCTGGGAAAAATGGGAATGGGGAAAATATGGGAAAAATCTGGGGGAAAAATGGGAAAAATGTGGGAATGGGGGAAAATGGGAATGGGAAAAATGAATAAATGGGGATGGGGAAAAAGTGGGAAAAATCTGGGAAAAATGGGAATGGATAAAATGGGGGGAAATGGGTAAAAT